TTTTATTTTATCTTGTTTATTTATTTAACTTTGTATCTTTACTCACTGGATTTTTTTTCCTTTCTCTTTAAGCTTGACTAAGGTTGTGGAGCAAGAGAGGAGTAACCAGTTAATACTCTTCTCTTGCCCAAAGATATAAAGAACTTGCTGGTAGTATACCAGATAGGATCATTTCTGAGAACAGAACACTGCAATCAGGGGTCAGAAAATCCATGGGATGTTTCTTTCTGCTCTCTTCAGAAACTGCAGAAAGTTAACACAGATTTCAGAGCCTTGCTCTCTGTCACGTCATGTGACTTCTTAGGGATCCCAATAGAGTTATTTGAGTAAAGTAGCTCTGTAATTTTCAAATATAAAAGTATTTTCTTGTTTTCTTGATAGGTATATTACTTTGAGTCTGATCAGACAGAGAGGAGTGTTAATCTTTAATTGCTCACTGATCTTTGATTATTAAACATGCAGTTCTCTTTCATGGTCTGCTATTTTACTGCTGTTAGCATGGACTCTTTCTAAGCCTTTCCTAGCAGACCTCAAGTCCCTCTAATCTTCCTGGTCCTCTAGTTTGCTGAATAATTTAGTTTGCTTTGTCATCCTGCTCCCCTGATTTAGCTTTCCTGTTGTAATCTGCGTATCAGTAGTTCCCTTTAGTATTCAGTAACTCAACAGTCTTTTGGGTCCAGTGTTGAAATGTACCAGTACAATCCAAATTCTAGTCAAAGCTGAAGTACAGAACAAAATATTCTGCAGATACTTTGGGAACACTGATGTCAATGGCAGGAAAGTGAACCCATTCAAAATGTCAAGTGCATACAGTTGTTGGTATTTCTTGCATTTTAGGGGGGAATTGATTTTGGTAGGTTTTTTTCTTTATCATTTTATGATGGAAATTTCTTCATTGTTCAGTTTGGTCTCCTGTGTTGCTGCTTCACAGGGAAATAAAGAAAACTATATCAAACATCAAAAGGAGTTAAAGGAGTTAAGTGAATAAGTGCTTTTCAATTTTTCTGAAAAATATAAATGAGTTTTATCTAGAGTAATTATTCTTTTCTTGAATTTCAGCCTAATACAATCTTAAATCCCTAGAGGCATTCACTTGTGCAGACGGTATCTGACAAACAAAAAAATAATTTGCAGGTTTACTCTATTTTTCTACATAATTACTGTGATGAAAATTAAAAGGGTGCTACTAATGAAAGTGGACATAGAGCTCTACTGTGTACCTTCAAAGTGATGTGTAGTAGTTATAGCCCCCAAATTCCATTATTGGTAAAGTGCATTTATTCATGCACAGACTCTTGCTCCTGTGCTTGTCTCTGGTAACCTGATGCAGCAACAATGATTTTATTTTATTTTCTAGTGCTTGTTCCTGCTGAAGTGTTTGCTGTTCCCACAGGAATGCTTTTGCTTTAAAAACTGAACAGCTGTTTGATCGTTGACACTGCCACTGATTTGTGCAGTAACGGTATGATTAAGCGTATTATCAGAGTGCCTCATTTGCTTACTGATACACAACAAACCCTTTGTCTCTTTTCTTTTTTTATGATTTTTCATCTCTTCGCTTTTATACTTCTCTGAGCTCATATTAGCAATTGACTCACAATGTGGAAATGCAGCCACTGCACTACGGCTTTATGCAAATGGAAGGATCGTCAGTATACACAAGGCTAAATCAATTTTTCCATTCTCTGCAAGAAAGAAATAGCCTTTTGAGGCACCTCAATTAGAGCTTTCCTGAAATCCGCACAGCACAGTGTAATTTCTTGCAGAGACTTATCCTAATTGGCAGCTTAAGGAAAGAGAACCAGACAGTTCATACCAGTTTCCACATGGAAAGTTCTCCAGAGACCCTTGAAACAATTAAAAGCATTTCTCTCTTTCTGTCTAAGGTTCATGACTTGAAACAGCAGATGAAAAGATAGCAAATCATACATTGAGGAGTCTGTGAACTTTTCCCAAAGTGGATTTCATCCTCTGGAAAAAAGACAAGCTTGGGAAGGAGAGGAGTACACAGGGGAGAGGAGAGGTTTCTTACGTAAATTTTCTGTAGTCCTCCTCCCATTGTTTTATATGTATGTGTGCATATATGCATCTGTAAAACATTATATCTGGATATTTGCCCTTTGAAAGCTCTGGAGCTCTTTTTTACTGTTGTAATCAAATTAATTGGTTCATTAGAAATCCTGAAGGCTTGCATGTCATTTTTTTAGTAAGGAGGTTTATATTTTCTCTTTTTTTTCATACTGAGTTACTTCAGTGTTTCTCCTACAATGTCTCCTGCTCTCCCTAGGCTTAAAAGCAAAACATTCCTTAATTTGTTCCTATTAAAATTTTGTGTTGGAATGGATTATGAAAATACTACATCCCAAGAAGTCTGTTGTAAACCTGGCTTTATGAAACAAGTGGTTATGCTTTTTCTTGGTAGGTGACTAAAAAAAATCAAAGGAAAACTGTTTACTGAGGTTTTAGTATGGAGGTTTTTAAAATATAGAGAATAATCTAAAGGATTATTTTTTATTTTCCTTGGCATTGAATCGACATAGGTAAGTTTTTTTTCTCTCAAAACTCCCACTGGTTCCCTATATGTCCCATTCTGGAGATGCTACATCTGTGATGTACTTCTTCAATGAACAACAGCATCTTTCAGAATGCTCTCAACTAGCCTGAACTCTCATCTCAACCACACAGGCTCACTTCTTTCTCAAAATATTCTCACTGTTGTCTTGAACTCTCACACTGGCAGTCACCTTGTAATCACAGCAGACACAACAGATGCTTCCCCTGGGAGAGATGTACAAAATACAGCATTTTTTAAGTGCAAGCAGGTATTGCTCATTTCCTAGCTGCAGGTGAGAATGCATCTAACTGGCAGGTAAATAAATATTTATTAAGCCAGGAAGGTTAGAAATATCCATTTGTTGTTTCCATAGCATCTTTTATATTTACTATCCCATTAAAATTAATGTATAGGAAAGAAACTTTTTCACAAAATACTTCCTGTTAAACTCATTGAGCCTTCAGATCTGTTTTAGGTCTTTATCTGATGATCATCCTATACACTGGTTCTAGAGAAGACACTGGAGGAGAGAGCATAGAGTAAGATCAACAAAGAGTCCTGCTTATTTCTCCTAAGCTGTTTGCTTTGCAGCACAAAATGTCAGCACATTTATGTCTTGACACATTATGATGCTCAGGGAAGCTGAGAACCCCTTGTCCAACTTAACTGACTAGAAAGCTTATCTTAACTGTTATCACTTTCATCTTCAGCAAAGTCCAGCCAATTGGCTTTTGTTATGCATAGTTACTATGGAGGCAAATTAATTTAAAAATACTCTTTAAATTCTGGTTTGTTTTCCTTTTTCCCAATTTCCCCAGAATCATATCATCTGAAAATAATTTTCTCTACAGACATTGCAGCACTGTAGTTCTTGTATATCTCCACATCTACTGTTTTTGTCATAAATGTATATTCTTTTTTTTGCTATTCAGGACATGTATTTTATATAAACTTATAAAGGGTGTGTATCTTATATAAAGATGCTTTTAAAGTGTGCTCAGCTGCAGTAAGTAGAGGCCATATGCAGGGGTTAAGCATGGTCTGCTGACAGTGAATGTAATTATTCTTTACAGTGGGATGTCTTTGTCAAAAGAAAAGAGCCATCTAGATCTGAAGATCCTAAGACTTACCATCCTAGTTTCTGAAATATTTGAAATATTTCAAAAGCAAAGGCCTTCCAGAACTTGTCTTCACCTTCCAGGTACAATGGCAAGATAAGGTCTATGATCCACGGCGCTGCTGAAAGGAAGGAGACATTCTGCTTCAATAATTTCCTTTCAACTGTCATTACAAGAAGCATGAATGTGAACTTTATGAATATTGCAGAGAAGAGATCATGAAGTGAAAGGAATGTGTGCCTGTGGATGGCTTGTTTTGAAGTGGGCTGTGCTGAGGAGATCTGTACATCCACAGGTGTCCAAACGACTTAACTTTGGCAGTACCCCTATACTTTAAACCCACAAGGTCACAGCTGCTGTCCTGTTTACATGTTTTACAGCTGCTGGACATAGCAGCAGAGTGGAAAACAGGGTGGTATAGCTCATCTTTCACCCCTTTATGAGCTGGGAACCCCAAGTTGTGCAGCACACTGCACAGATCCCTTGTTCACTGGCATCATAATCTTTAGAGCTCCTAAAGGGTTTTTTAGAAGTAAACAACTCCATTCATCATTTCTGCTGTCAAATAAAAAGGATGTTTACATGAGAACATACTGCTCTCTTTGATACAAAGACAAGGCTGTGCCAGTGGTGTCATGACCAAATATCAAGTGGGAGATATCTACATGCTTCTCTGCTAAAATCAGCCACTGGCTTTATCCTGCAGCCATGTGATACCTGCAGCCAGGCACAACACAGGCACACACTGCCCTCAGGTCAACTCTTGAGGGAATGGCTAACACTTCAATGTACAGTAGTATTCCAGTTAGATCACTACAGCTGCCAAAACCAGGCATGTAATTATCCTCAGTTTTCCTTCTGAACAAGTTAACAATCACAGGAGAAATTATAATAGTGTTTTCACGTTTGTAGACTGAATAATTCTTATGCAAACAATAAAGAATACTCAGACCTCTTGAACTTGCTTTGTGATATGTATTTTGTAAAACAAATATTGTTAGTTTAGCAGTAAACAAGCATTGTTAGATGTTGCATACAAAATGCTGGTGAAAAGTAAGTTGTCTGCAGACTTGGGCCCTGAAAATGTAACCAGGTGCTGGGAGAGAAGTCAATTCATCATTTAATTTCTCTGTCACCATAAATAAAACGGAGTGCTGATTGCAAAATCAAGTGGTTGCCTAGCATCATCAATGCAATTATTTTCACTCCTTTGAGTTTTCCATGCAGATGCTTCTGTTAGCCCTTACTCTGTTGTGACCCCAGGTGCCTCACTGCCTGTGGTGGATTCCTCACTTTGTTCCCACTCTGTCTCCCCTGTGTCTTCGCAGTGGTCAGTGTACATCCGTGCTGCCGTTCGCAAAGAGAAAGGATTGCCCATCCTGGTGGAGCTGCTCCGGATAGACAATGACCGGGTGGTATGTGCAGTTGCTACAGCTTTACGAAACATGGCCTTAGATGTCAGAAATAAAGAGTTAATAGGTATGTTCTTTCCAAACAGTTATATATATACTGTGGATCTGGGGATTTCTTTTTCCAGTTTGCAGCACAATGAGCACAATGAAAATTATTCTCACGTTTCTAGAACAATTTCTTTAATTCTTTCTCTAGCATGTCATATTCAGATTTTATGTGACAGCTTGCTAGTATATATCAAGGAATTGTTAAATTAATTAAACATCATGCAATGTTTCTTGATCTTCCAGGCTGTAATCTCTGTATCAAAAGCAATACTTTGTTCTCCTTTAGCGTTTCATTCTTAGGCTGGCAGTAGCACTTGCATCTTCCAGATCAAGGATCTAAGCAGAGCACACTCCTCCTGATCCTCAGATTACCTATTGCAAGTAACTTTGGAGTCATGAAGTAACAAGTCATAAAAAATTTAAGAAGGTTACAGGAATTTAGTGGGCAGATTAGTATCTCCAGCAAGAGAACTGGGAGATTCTTGCTCACAAACAAATACGCTGATAAGGAAAAGGACAATAATTTATGTAAATCATTATTACACCTGAATTCTGATCGTACAGTAAGCACACATATGGGGGTTTTATTTTGTTCAGGCGTTTGGTGGGTTTTCTTAGCTGAAATTCATCCAAACACTGTGGGTCATTGAGCTTTTATTTTCATGTTCTGTCTGAAAAATAATCACTTTCAACAATCATAACCAAATTATTTTTACTTCTGTACAATAAGAGCATATTTTCTGTAATTTTTCCTAACTTGTTAATTTGTTATCATTACAGCATATTTCTTCCCTGCTCTTAATTACAGAATTTTATAAATAGATACTATGATCATAATGTTTATTATTTGCATCCAGTGCTATCTTGGGGTTAATGCTTCTTTACAGCAGTGCTGTGCAGCTTGTTAAAACAAAACAATAAGTCCTCTCATACTGGAAGGAGTGTCTCATTGTACTAATGTTCCTAGATCTGCAAATTTCATTTAGGAATGTAACTCTATGCATTTAAAATTAAGCTTACTCTGATATGCCATTCAAAATACTGGTAAAATTATGGATAGTAAATTTTCACAACCTCAACATTTTAATAGTTTTTTAAAAATTCTTAAATAACACATCATAAAAGCAAAGATAAATTTAACAATTGTAGGAACTGTATGTTTAATATAACAGCCTATTGCGTTTATTTATGTAGCCAGCTAATAAAAGTTGTAGAATGCTGCTCTGCTTTATGTTATTTGTAGGGTTATTCTGAGAAGTTGTACTTAGAAATTGCAATAGTAATTTGTTGCATCTTTAAAACAGTCCAAACATGCCAATATGACAGGGGAGTTACGATTATAATTCTTGAACCATTTTAGCTGTGATCTTTGTATGTTCACTTCTTTGGCTTGTCATCATTGAACTTCGAAGAACAGTAATAGCAATCATTACTGCTCTTGTTCTCTAATATTTTTTAGCAAATAGAGCCTATCATAGAGCTGAGTTTTAGAAATGCTAAACATCAGCAGTGGTCAAGGATTTCAACTCATGTTGTAGTCCATCCATTTTTGTGATATTGCACTCCTGTGTATTGTATATGTATTGCAGGATGCCGTAGCTGTTGTTATGCAAAGGAAGCCTCAAAAGGAGCTTGTGTAGTTTCTCAAACATCCTTCTGCCTAGGCAAAATCAACATGCTATTTATCTTTTCTCTTTCTGAATTTTTTTTGCATCAGGTTCTTGTGGTGACACACTCTGCCTCACAAGCTGAAATTTTCCCCATAAAATAACCTTTTTTTAAAGGAGAATTTTCCATCTGTATATATAGTAAAGTTACATAGCTAGAATTGAGTTGGTTGGGGGTGTTTAAAGCCTTTATAAAGCTTTCTTTGCAGTGGCGCAGTCATTCCATTCCCAGCTGACTTTTTTGCAGAAATGTGCCAGAGAATGATATATTTAATTCTACTGCTGCCAAGCAGCCCATAAATCAGTATTGAGGCACCTGGAAAATATATTAGAAAGCTTGCTAAATTCCAGACTCACCTGGTCTGTGCTAAAAAACAAACAAAAAGACCCTTTTCTCAATGGCCAGAAGTTTCATACTAGACTTCATTGAATTGACCAATCTGTTTTGTTTTTCACACAAATCCATCAACTATGATGTTATATTGCTAAAGGATGGTGTGAGGCTTCTCTTATAATTTATCTGAGCCATCCCCATAGCAACATTTTCTTTATTTATAGTGAGGTCTTCCTGGGTTTCATTTCAGGCATGCTCCATGTCTTCAGTAGGACTTTCTTTTTTCTCCTTCTTCATTGCTTTTGCAATGTGCCGTGTGTCCCTTGGCCGCGACGGCGGACATATTCATCCTTCTCCTTCCTAAAATTAAACTGCACTCAAAAACATGGTAAATCTGGTCTACTTAGTACTGCAGTATATAATGCAACACCCAGTTTTCTCTCCTTGAACACACTGCCCAGGTGCATTCCTGGACACAGGTTAGACCACATTCATTTTCACTTGACTTCCAGGACCCTTGTTTGCATAAAATAGTACACAGTCTTTGTTGCTTCCCAAGAGAGCACCCATGGGAAAGGTTTATGAGCCTTTTCTCTTTCCCAGCTGAGAGAAAGATCCACTGCTGATATTGCCTGTTTTGTTCTTCCTTGGTTTCAGTGATGTAGGCTGCAGAGCACCCCTGTGTCCCTCTGGTGCATTTTTTCACTTCTATTCATGTGCTCAGTATTTCGGAAGTCTTCTTTTCCTTCCTTGAAGCAGGTTCTGTCTCTGCTAAACTTCTCCATGGGTCCCTTAGCTTCTCCCCCCAGCCCCAGTAGATGTCACTGAGTTGACAAAAATCACTTTTAGTTGCTTTTGACTTCCATGTGAGCAAAAGAAAATCACTTTTATCCCTCAGGTCCCCTGAAAGCTGTGTTGATGACCTTTGTGCAGTTATGTCATCCTCATGTTCTTTTCCTCTTCTTCATCTGTCTATTTAACTCAAGAAAAAGGAGAGTAAGGGAAAGTAGAATAACAAAACCACTGTTCTGTGTCCCTCAGGGCTATACTGGTGTCTTAGTTTGAGGATATGACACTCTTTTTCTCCTGGAAATGCAGTTTTTAACTTGAGGATTACCTGCAGACCTCTTGCTTCTGGCAGTGCCAGTCAGGCCAGTACCTCACGCCAAAGCTGTCCCACTGTCTTCCCTACAGTGAGTGTACCTACAAACTTCCATTCTCTAAAGTCACATTTTGTTCAGAAATAGCTAACTCAATGCCGTTTCTTTTCTTTAATCAGAAGAAACTTGGATCAGCTGGATGGGACAGAAAAGCTTGAATGTAAACCCACCTCCTCTAAACAGCATCTTTTTGCAGGATGAATTATTTCCTTGCAATCTGTCCCAGCAACCTTCAATGGATTTCTGGTTCAAACACCTTCCACGCAGTCCTCTGGACTTCTAGGGAACTTTCTGTGAGCTACCTGAGCCTGCACTGTACGCTTGTGTCCTTAGGAGTCTCCCAGCTATCACTGGTGCAGCAGCCTCCCTTCTTGCTATTCCCTCTTCCCACTCTGCATGTGAGAAGGTTTCCAATTCAGAATTCCCCATTCAGTCCTGGCAAACAAGCCAAATTCATCTTTCTTTTATCTGAAGGACAGACAGCATTTTCCTCTCTGCTGCTATCCATGACCTCTTTAACAAAAGAGATTATGCATTGTACAGTTAATTGAAAATTATGTGACTTGTTATTCTACCTTAACAAGCAGGTACAGACCAGCCCTGTCTGAAATTTTTGAAGAATGATGATCCCTAAAATCTGCATTTTCCTTGTTCTTGTGTATGCACAGCATTTACCTTTTATTTTAAATGGCAATTGCTGTGGTATTTTAAAGTGCAGTAGGTGGTCTTTCAAACAAGTTGAGCTGATTTTTCTAGCTGCCCCAGATGAGAAATTTGTCACTATTCATGTATGGCAAAATATGGGTAATATAGGATTTTTCCGCTTGGAGGAAAACTTAGAATTTGTATTACTACTCTTCAGTGGTAAGCCCACAGAGTACGCGCTTTGGAGAGAAAGCAGAGCTGGAGGTAAAATGTATAAAACTTAAATGCACAGTTTTGTGCTTTAAGTCTTCCTGTCATTTTCATTTTATTCTGACAGTAGTTTCTAATGCCATTCTGGGTCAGTGTTGATTAAGAGGAATACTGTACTAGTAATTGAAAAGCACCACTATTCTTTCTCTTAGCCTCTTGGTCTTCACTTTTGTAGTTAATTTTTTTTCCCTTTTTTAGAGACTGGTAGTATTTTAATCACTCAACCTTGGAAAAAAGGAGGACAGTTCCACTTAAAGGTTGTTGATTTCTTGTACTGTAGAAAAGAAGTCCTTGCATATCTGTGCCCTTCAAATGTTTAGAGAATCCAGGCATCTGTTCAGGGCTCTAGATTCTATGGAGTTTGATGGGATAAATTGAAGCATTGTAATAATTAAAACATTCTTGTTGTAGCTATCATTGTAAACACTTGATTCAGATTAGTAAAGTTAGTGGTATGATTTCTTCTGCTTTCACAAGGTTTTGAATTATGTCTCAAAACAGGGCCTGTAGCGGGGGTCATTTTTAAATAATCATTGCTGAGTTGGAGACTGTTTGTCAGTGCTGAATTATCCTCTTTTCACTGTTTGTCTGCCGGTAATGCAGTTATACATGCAAAATTAAACAGCGGCACATCAATTAAATTATTACCTAATGGGTACAGGAAACTGCTTACTTCTGCTAGGTGTCTAGAAGTTCATTGTCTAAGATAAGATACCTGTATTGGATGCCTTCATAGGTGACTGAGAGACTCACAGAAAGTGACTTATTTTGTCTAAAATGTGATAAGATGGAAGTTATCCTGTATTACCATATCACTGTCGTTTAGTGATGAAAACCATCTAAGTGTGTAACTTGTCAGTGTATGTCTTACAATCTGCGACTCTGTTTGAGTGCCTGGTGTTTTGTTTCAAATTTTTACTGCTAAACTTGAGAAAGTTTGACT